ATTAAAAAATGTTTTATGCACATGCCTAACACTGCAGTAAATTATAAGGCTGCAAGTACTTAGGGAATGTTCAGTAAATGCATACAACTCAAGTTAAAGGTTTTATAGTTTTACAAAATCTCAGGTTCTACATTGTCAAAGACAGCAGTTATTACGGTCCTGGGAAAAAGCACTCTGAAATCAACAAAACCACCTTTTTTACCAAGTGATATGGTGTTAATAAACATTAGAAAATATTTTGTGCCTGGATGTCAAGTACTGAGAAATGATACTGTGCCCTCGAATACGTGCTTAATATTAGTTGACTGATAAAGTCACTGCAGGTGGCATTTATTGCCATGAACTATAGTGCTTCACTTTATCACTCAGACTAGATCACAATGTTCCAACAGCTACAATCTGTTAACTCTCATCCAAATAGCTAAAATGCCCTTAAAGGAAGCATTACTTGCCTCTGAAGGTTCCCAGGCAATTTTGAAGATTTCATAAACCTTGGTAAGCTCAATATCAGCTATTGGTTTGAAATTCAATTAATTGTGAAATGGAAGAGAAAAATGTTCTTTCTTTTCCACAAGAAACCAAGCCTTGTATAGTACAATATTTGTAAGATTTGTATGCATATTTCAGTAAAAATAAAAAATTATGCTCTATGGTATTGTCCTTTCAAACTATAAAAGATAATATGCTCATTGGAATGGATGACATAAAATGTACATAAAAATTCAGCACCCACTCCCATCTCTCCATTCCCCTCTCTCACCCCACAAAGAAAAAATATTGACTGTATAAAGTACATCTTTCCAGGTAATTTTCTACGTCCATGTAAGCATAGGAAAACATCTATACACACAAAAATATTTTACAAATATGTCCCCTTTACGTATATCACTCTGCATCTTGCTTCTTTAATAGAATTCTATATTTATGTGGAAATTTATTTTTTTCTTTAATGACTATATAATATCAAATATTTATAAATATGCCATCATTTTCTTAGTCATTCCTCCATTGGTGGTATTTAGATGTTTTTATTTTTTATCACTTCAAGGAATTCTGCAGGAAATCTTTATATGATGGGAGTTCTCCTTTCATATTTTATTTCAAAGTGAGAATGTTGAGTTTAATGGGATGCATACTTCAAAATTAGATTCTGCTGTGTTAGCTTCCCAAAAGGTTGCTGTAATTGGCACTTCCATCAGAAATGGAGGGGAGTGCCCATTTTGATACCCTCACCAGCATTGGATGTTATTAATCTTTAACTTATTTGCCAATATGATCAATGAAAATTGTTATCATTGATTAGCTTTTCCCTGATTAATAAAGAGGCTGAACATCTTTTTAAATACTTACTAAAATTTTGAATTGAAAATCTTTTCTACTCTATATGTTCTTGTCATAGCCTTTGCCAGCCTTCCCATTGTAGATTCTGTGCTACATGCTTACAACCTTCCAAAGAAAAATTATGAGCAGAGTAATCACATTTTTGTTAACATTTATATAAATAAGCATAACAAAGGAAAATATCTCACAATTTTATGAATTATAGTCAAGCCTTATGTTTTAGATAATGTGTGGGTATTAATATTGCTTTGGATTGGTTTTGCTGTCCTTAGCAAACACTACTGCATTTACAGGATTTGGTCAATGCTTATTCTTTTTTTTTTTTTTTTTTAAGATTTTATTCTTAAAATCTTTATTCTCTGTCAAATAAGACAGAGAGAGAGACAGCGAGAGAAGGAGCGCAAGCAGGGGGAGTGGGAGAGGGAGAAGCAGGCTTCCCGTGGAGCAGGGAGCCCGATGCGGGGCTCGATCCCAGGACCCTGGGATCATGACCTGAGCCGAAGGCAGGCGCTTAATGACTGAGCCACCCAGGCGCCCCGGTCAATGCTTATTCTGAGAACACATTTCATGAATTACAAAAATCATAAAACCTTGCTTCCATAATATAACTATGTTGCATATTTATGATTCATCTGAATCTTCTAATTTCCATGACATTCACGTAAAGAAAAAAAATAATTTCATTCTCTTTGGAAGCGTTTAGGAGAAGGACCTAAGCTGCAAGTACATAATATCCAAGTTTAAATCCAAACATTGAGTACTCAACCTATGTCATAAGAAGTGCTTGAATAAAAGTAGATTCTAAATTATGTACGATATATTGTGCATCACTATGTACAGTTATGTTTACATTTTGTTCATGCTTATTTGTCAAGATATTTATGTATATGATCATCAAGAAAACTCTCTTGCAAGAATTTGAGGTTTTAAAATATTAAAACAGTGGTTAATATAGTGAATTGAAAGATATAAAGGAAAAGTATATGATTATACCGTTAAAGTCAAGAAAAAAAGACCTAAAAAAAATCTCATTTGTAATAAAAAAATTCTTAGTTATACAGTAGGCTAAAAATTTTTTTAAATATTTTATTTATCTGAGAGAGAGCAAGAGCAAGAGTGAGAGAAAGAGAGCATGCATCAGTGGGGGAAATGGGCACAGGGAAAGGGAGAATGAAACACCCCACTGAGCAGGGAGCCAGACATGCGGCTCAGTCCCAGGACTCCAGGATCATGACCTGAGCAGGAGGCAGACACTTAACCAAATGAGCTACCCAGGTGCCCCAGGCTAAAAAAATTTTTAACTAATTAAGGGAATGACCTAAACATACCCACAAACAAATCTAAGCCCAGCATCAGATTTACAGTTGCTTTAGATATATTTTCAATAAAATCATTCATAGAATTATACTCACTATCATTTCCATTTAACTTCATAGGCTATGTGTGTGGTCAAGGAGGATGGCAGATCCTGGCCAATTTCAATAAATCTAAGAACTAAATACATGATATAAAATTAGAAAAATAAACAAAATTGTCATTAATTATATAAGACAGGTAAACTTTAGAGAATCTAGAAATCATTAGAAATAAAATAGTGAATAGCAAGGTTTTTTTGGCATAAAATCAATATTCAAAAGTCAGAACAATTTACAATCATAATTAAATAATTTAAAATATTTTAAATATCTCATAAAAACCTAAAACTATAAGGTACAAACAAATCATAACTAATGATGTATAAGGCTTTTATAAAGAAAATTATAAATTTATATTAAAGCAAATAAAAGATTTTAAAGATTTGAAAAACATACCATGTTCATGGATGATACTATTTAAAATTATGAAGATTATGGTTTGTCTCCCTCTCTGATTTCTTCCCATTCAGTTTTTTTTTTTTTAATTATTATGTTCAGTTTTCCTTCCCTTCCCCTAAGGTCCTTTGCACTATTCCTTAAGTTACACATATGAATAAAACTATATGATAATTATCCAAAATTAATTCATAAATTTATAAATTCTCACTCAGAATATCAACAAAATTTTCATACTACTAGACTATATAATTTGAAACTGTGCATGTATAAAGACAAACTGTACAAGTGCAAAGGACAGCCAAGGAAATATGGAAGAAGCAAAGATGATAAGACTTATAAGAGTGGGTGTTAAAGAGACAGTGGAGATTTCTCCAGAGAGAAAGAGATGCCAATATAATGAGTCTTCATGGGGGAAGAAAAAGAGGAAGTGAAAGGGCTGCTTTCTCTTATTTCAAACTAAGTGAGGAGGTTTTAAGCCAACCATCTAGAGAGTTGAACAAGTATTCTCTCAGATTTGGGAACCATAGAGCCTTGTGTCTGGTTTCCATTTGGGGAAGGGTAAAGAAGAAAGGTATAGTTGGGAGAGTCTTCCTAGCTGACTGCATTCAAAGCACTCTGTACTTTCTAAATGGTGGTATAAAGATGCATGGTAGGTTACTTGAATCTTCAGAGGCAGTGGAATTCCAACAAAAGAGACATATGAGGCCTCTAGACCTATCAGTGAAGAAAGGAGTGTAAAGCAGCCTTCCAGATAAAAGACATCATTTGCCAAGTAGCTTCAGTCAGAAGTTGCCACAAGAGAATCTCTAAAAATACAAAAACAAAAAACAAACTACAAAAACACCTAAAAAAAACAACTAGCAACTACCTGTCTGCATCACTCAGAGGAAACAAAAGCCAGATTAAATACCACCCCCAACAAGTAAAGCAGGGCCCTTTTACCTGTTAAAGTTTGATTTTCAAAAAGTTTAAACATATAACTCAAATACAAAATGAACATGTATCAAAGAAAAAGTAATTAAGAGAAACCATTATGATGGTTCAAAGAGCATCTGAGGAGTTGACATTTGTAGACAATGTAATAAATGAATACTAAAATAAGATTGCTTGGTTACTTATAAAACTTGTTGATTTCTTATAGAACAACAAATCATAATTTCTGGGATTATCTTTTTTAGTAGAGAGAAAGTATCTGCATCTCTCTTGGACAAAAATACACAAGTTAGCATATAATTTCGCTAAGTCTGGGACTTGTTTAAATTGAGTTAAACAAGGGATGCCTGGGTGGCTCAGTCAGTTAAGCATCTGACTTCAGCTCAGGTCAGGATCTCAGAGTCCTGGAATCAAGCCCCACCTCCAGTTCTGTGCTCAGCAGGGAGTCTGCTTCTCCTTCTCCTGCTGCCCCTCCCCCTGTTCATGCTCTCTCTCTGCCTCTCTCTCTCTCTCTCTCAAATAAATGGTCATGATCTCAGGGTCCTGGGATCAAACCCATGTTGGGCTTCCTGCTCAGGGGGTAGTCTGCTTCTCCCTCTCCCTCTGTCTCTCCCCCTGCTCATTCTCTCTCTCTGTCTTTTAAATTAATAAAATCTTAAAAAAAAAAAAAAAAAAGATGACTGAAGGATTTCTTCTTTGACCAACTATGGATAGCGCTACTATTTATTAAGATGAACAACATTGAAGGCAAAAGCCTTTTTTGTGGAAGGTAGAGAGTATAGGGTTATGGTTTTGGTCACACTAAGTTTCAGGTGGCTTTTAGATACCAAAGTGAAGATATCAGAATATGTGAGTCTTGAGATCAGGAGCAAATGTCAGGGCTGAAGATGTAAACTTACTATCATCATACAGGTGAGACCAGTTGAACACCTGGAAAGTGAGTGAATGCAGAAAGAAGAGACCCTCAGACTAAGCAGAGACTGAAGAAGAAGGTAATGAGACTGATGGATTGGAAGCTACGTTGTAATTGAGTGAATGTTGGGGTGGAAGTGCTACAGAGTGGGTGCTGGGAAAAGAGAAGACTGTAAATAAAGTAAAATTCCTTAAATACTTATATTAAAAAAGGTACAATTGTTATTGCACCTTCTAAGCTGTGTGCATGGTAGAAGAATGATTGAAAGTGGAAAGAGAAACAAAACTGTTGACAATAAGACGACTTGGGACACCTGGGTGGCTCAGTGGGCTAAGCGTCTCAGGTCACGGACTCAGGTCAGGAGTCCCGCATCGGGTTCCCTGCTCAGCGGGGAGTCTGCTTCTCCCTCTGACCCTCCCCCCACCACTCTCTCTCTCTCTCTCTCAAATAAATAAATAAAATTTAAAAAAAAATGGGAGTTCAACAAAGTATATATTTCTCTGGATAATCCTCAGATAGGTCTGTTAAACAATGTCCCTATATGACCTTAAAATGACATATTGCCCACCTTTTAGCCTTATTTCCAAGTTGGAATAATTATTCTTATCTTTATCCTGAACTCCCTTCACCTTGCCAATCTCCAAGAATAAAAATCCACTTTTAATGACATCTCCTAACCATGCCCACGCTTCACAGGCCACTTCTAGGTCTGAAGCTCACCCCAGATGGAGGAAAAGCTATCTATTTAATTTGAATAATATTCAGGGCTTTTATGATCATACTGTATTATACATTTTAGTTATTAAAGAGAGACTGGTAACACCGTATATATATTTGAAATTTTCTGAGAGTAGAACTTAAATATTCTCACCAAAAAATAAAAAAGGTAAATATGTGAAGTGATGTATGTGTTAATTAACTCAATGGGGGGAATCCTTTCACAATATTTATGTATATCAAATCATCTTGTTGTACACTTTAAAATCGTACAATTTCAATTGTCAATTATACCTGAATAAAGATGAAAAAAATAAAAGGAAACTGGTTTTAAGACTAAGAGTTACACAGAATGGTATGGAATAAAGCAGATTTCTTTTTCTATAAGACAGATTGAAGAGACAATAGAAGAAAGAGCAGAGTTGCTTCATGAATTTACCTAAATGATTTCAACTTATTTCATAAAAAATTAGTTATATTTGTAAGAGTGAAACTTGGAAATAATTGCCATCTACAGGAGAATAAACAAATTGTGGCATAATCATATGATGAAATACACTATAAAATTAAAATGAATTAACTCTAAATACAATGCAGCATCCTAGATTGGATCCTAGAACAATAAAAAAGCATCAATAGAAAATAATGGCAAAATTCAAATAAAGTATGAAGTTTAGTTAATAGTAATGTACCTATGTTGGTTTGTTGATTTTGACAAATATGTGATGGTAATATGTACACACACACATCTATTGCTTCTGTTTCTCTGGAGAACCCTGTCTAATATAGGAATTATCTATACTATCTTTGAAACTTTTCTATAATACTAAAATTATTCCAAAATAAAAAGTTATTAAAAACATTAGTTAACTAAAGCTACACACATAAACAAAGGTAAATGACAAAATATGTCTTTGAGGAAAGTTATGAACATATTGCTTTCACTTTTCTACTCGCCTGTAATCTAGCCAGTGCATCCAGATATTAAATTCACTGATATTTAGACTTCAGAAATACAATGTCACATACACACTTATATCAATAAAATAACTTAAATTTAGTTAGTTATTAAAGAGAGACTGGTGGGGCGCCTGGGTGGCTCGGTCATTAAGCGTCTGCCTTCGGCTCAGGTCATGATCCCAGGGTCCTGGGATCGAGCCCCGCTCGGGCTCCCTGCTCCACGGGAAGCCTGCTTCTCTCTCTCTCCCACCCCCCCTGCTTGTGTTCCCTTTCTCGCTGTGTCTCTCTCTGTCAAATAAATAAATAAAATCTTAAAAAAAAAAAAAAGAGAGAGACTGGTAACACCATATGTATATTTGAAATTTTCTGAGAGTAGAACTTAAATATTCCCACCAAAAAAATAAAAAAGGTAAATAAGAAGTGAATATATGAAGTAAATAAATTAAATACTCATTGGTACACCCTTGTTCATAAAGTAAGAGCAGGTTAAAATGTTAAAAAAAACCCAAACACTGACATTAATCATTACTATGTAACATTTTTATATTTTTCAAAGTTAACATACATAATTTTATTTACCTCTTACAGTAGTCACTTCAAGTAAGCAGAGAATTATACTAATTGAGAATATTCAGGAAATTTAAATGATGTGGCTAGAGTATATAGTAATAGTTAAACATGAATCCAATTGTTTCAACATTTTATGAATACAGGATGACTATGGAGTCTATTGAAAAGTTAATGAATTAACAACTTCAAAATATTTTGAGGGTTCTCAGGTGAACCTCTGCTATCAGAAAGTATCCCATGTGCTAACCAACTTGCTCAAAATGTATGTCCTATAGATCTCACATTACCATATACTGGAATATGTCAATTTACTTCTTACTATATACACTATCCTTTTCCTTTCACTAGAAATAAATAATAAATAAATAGGCAAGCCACATTAATGGTTGCATCTTCTTATGTTCCACAATCATGACAGATCTACCAAATATGCACAGTAGAGATGAAGCAGGCCCACATCTATTTCTTCAAAACAGCCAAATGGCTATGTCAGATATATTGTTCCTGAAACGTAACAGAAACCTATTTCCCGGTCAGAATCCCCTGAATGTACATTAACTCTATTTGACTAAGTCAGGTAGTGTTAATGAATCTATCAATTATTTTGGTCTTAATACTTTCTCCTGTGGGTGAAGAATAGAAATAGCTTCCTGCTATGTGTCTTATTCAGTAGAACCCCGCATTCAGTGAGAGATGGAGGAAATTTTAAATCCAATTGCTATCCATAGAATCCGTTTTACTCATACATCTTTGCTTGCTCTCCAAAAGGATATCTATTGTTAAAATCTTTTTTCTTAATTTTCTAGGATTCCCTTTCTTTTCAAGCATGTTCCCACTTATACAAAACTCATAAACTTCCAATTTGCAAAACATATGAAATTTCAATTCCTTTTTACTATTTTGTTCCAGTCTCTTTAAAAGTCCCACAACTATAATAACATCTTTTATTTAATTTATGGACCTCTACCCTGTAATGGTTGCAGCTACTTTTGCCAGTCTTAATTTTGTTGTGTCAGATGGTAAAACAAATTACAAATGTTTATTTTAGTTACTAGATAAATGCAAGTAAAACAAATAAGTAAAAAAAAAAATATGTATTTAGGTAATAAGCAATCAAGCCTATGTAAAATCTCATCTCCTTTTCTGAAAATATATCTATGAAAAACCAATGCTACTATTCTCTCCCAAAAAAAGCCTTTATTTTGCTTTTATTTCCACTTTTATTTCAACATCTGCCACATTGTGATAATTTTATTAGGTATTACACCTGTGGACTAGTTGCATTAATAATCTGTGTAAATTCTGGTTTGTATCTACTTACCCAGACTGTCTAATAAGAACAAGAGGACATTTTGCTAGTCTGTATTTCATGTCTTACTTCTAGCCGTGAACTATTAAGAAGAAAATATAATACGGTTTTCTTGTCTCCTTCATAGTGTATGCAGGTCAGTCTCCCCAAAGAGACCATCCTTGAGGCAAAATTCAAACTCCCTTGTATTGCCTTGGAGAGTTTTTCTCTACGGCTCCCTCAACATGATTAATAGATTCTTTTTAGAAAACATCACATCAATCTTTGCAGAACCTACTTTTTGCTTCAAGAAGTGATATTGTTCCCCACTTCAGAATACTTTCAGCTAGTAATTTTTTCTTTTATTTTGCAATTATATTTAAAGTTCTTTATCCAAACAGAGCAGTTATGAAATTCTTCCTCTTTTTCATCTCATTAATGCAAGTAGAATGGAAAGAAAACAATTTACTCTTTTGATTGATTTTACTGAAGTGTAAATTATAATAAGATGGAAATAATTTAAAATAATGCTGCCTACTTGAAGAACAATACCAGAGGAAGCACAAGATAAGGATAAAACTTCAGGACAGAATGCTGTCCTACAAAATGAAAATTCAACTAATTGAAATCCTTGGGCATCTGGTGACTCTAAGTGAAAATTTGATATAACACTTGCCTTCAGTTCTTCCTACGCATTTAACAGACTAAGCAAAATGTACAGTGCAATCTTGCATAAAGGAAAAAACATAAAAATCATTGACTGAGTTACCCTGTGGATTTGATAAATTATACATCAGGATTCAATACCGGGAGCATTCTCTCCCTGTGTCCTTTCCTGGAAACAGCTCACAGGGAAAGAAAAGGAGCATAAGGGAAGCATGATTTTTTCCTTCTACTTGATTGCTGTCTTTAACCTCTCCATTTCATCCCAATCCTAGTGTCCGTTAATCACCATTTTGCTTTTGCTTTTAGGACTTGATAGATCGCATGCCATTTTTAAAAACATTTTAGGGGTGCCTGGGTGGTTCAGTCGTTTAGCGTCTGCCTTCGGCTCAGGTCATGATCCCAGCGTCCTGGGATGAAGCCCCGTATCGGGCTCCCCGCTCTGCAGGAGGCCTGCTTCTCCCTCTCCCACTCCCCCTGCTTGTGTTCCCTCTCTCGCTGTGTCTCTCTGTCAGGTAAATAAATAAAATCTTTAAAAAAATTTTTTTAAACTAGCTTATTTCTGAAATTTAACACTTTCTGGCATTTTCTGGCTATAGGAATAACAGCTCATGCAAAGTTCAGAATTAATCTTTTTTTTTTATATACCTATATGCTTGACTCATTGCAACTATACTGCATATAAACCTTTTTTTAAGTTTTTATTTAAATTCTAGTTAGTTAACATACAGGGTAATATTAGTTTCAGTTGTGCAATATAGTGATTCAACACCTCCATACAACACCCTGTGCTCATCACATGTGCCCTCCTTCATCCCCACCACTCATTTAGCCTAACCCCCCTCCACCTCCCTTCTTGTAACCATCAGTTTCAGAACTAA